CATCTAGAGGGTGGCACTTTGAACTCAGACTTTTAGCCTCTCAAACTATAAGAGAATAAACTGTTTGTTAAGGCCATCCCATTTGTGGTATATTTCCTGTCAGAGTGGTACTAGGTAACCAGAACAGATAGATAGACCAACAGAGAGAGATAGACAGATAGACAGCAGATCACCCTACCCCCAGAACTTTCCAGGCCTGTTTTGTTTTCCCCTAGCACCTGCCGTCATCTGACATGTTACAGTGAAGCCCGTGAAAGCCAGAACTCACCTAGATGGGCTTGTTTTTCCAGGTCTTGCAAGTTTTCCAGCTTTCACAAGGTGCAATCTTACCACTTTTCTATCACTCGTTTTAGTGGAAATATTTGCATTTTCCTTCTTTGACAGGTTTCTGTCTCACATAGGTTCTGGTTTTCATGGGTTTGACGGTATTTATTTATTGGTTTATCATCTGTGCCCCTCATCAGGCTTGGGAAGGGCAAGGACTTGGCCTGTTTCCTTTCTCTTGCCTGGAGCAGCAGCATGGGGCGGGTTCTCACAAACATCTGTGGAACGGAAGAAAGTGCACCAGCTGTACACATTGACACACGAGAATGCGGACTCCTGGACACACGCACTTAGGAACCACGTGCAAATGCACAGACCCATGGGCACACAGATTATAGGAAGTGAGGCTGAAGCATGCACAGGGCAAAGCCAACATTTATTAAGCCAGGCCTGGGCTCAGCTTTTAATCCCATTTGGGATTAAACGACTCTGTGCAGTAGGTTGAGACCTGCAGGCTGGATAAGGCCACCAGCGTGGCCAAGGTTTCAGGGTGAGTCCCAGCAGAGGGAACACAGTCATTGGGCTCCACAGCTGTCTCCCTGGAAGGACTCTGAACTCCAGGGCAGGATCCTGTTGTCAGACACCTGCTCAGGAAGAGCAGTTGGAGCAGGAGGGGGCCGGAGGAGAAGGCTGAAGTGTCTGCGGCAGCCCTAGCAGGGCTGTGCAGAGCAGTGAGGAGTTGGCAGGCAGCCAGGGAACCTGGCCAGCATGCCTGAGGGAGGTCCTGTCGGGGCTGAGGTATGAAGGCCCAGGTGGGGGAGGGAAAGGCGGAGACTGTGAGGACTAGAGCCCCGCCCTCAAAGGGTGGTGCAGTTTGTGCCTTGCTCAAGGGCACCAGGCCAGGGGGCAGGTGGGGACTCAGATGCAGGCACCCTTGCTGCACCAAGTGCACCCTTGGCCTGGGCTGCATCTACCCAACGGGCCCCTTTTCCTATTCCCTCAAATATGCCCTGTGCCAAGGGGAGTTCCAATTCCCATCGTCAAGTATGCTGTGCAACCTTGAGCCACACTCTCAGGGTCTATTTTTCCCATCTTTAAAACGGGATTTGACCTCAGCACAACCCTTCCAATGATACCTTCTCCTTCCCAACACTCAATCCCACGTGTCTAAATCCTTCCTGCATTCAATGTTCCTGTGCCGCCTTCAAGGAGCTCCGGTGACAGAGTGGTTAAAGCATTCAGCTGCTAACCAAAAGATTGGCAGTTCAAACCTACTAGCCACTCCATGGGGGAAAGATGAGGCACTCTGCTTCAGTAAAGATTGACAGCCTTGGAAACCCTGTGGGGCAGTTCCACTGTGTCCTATAGGGTCACTGTTAGTCAGAATCAACTCAATGGCAGTGGATTTGGTTTTGGGTTTGATACTACCTTCACGCAATAATGTCCCTACTCTGTAGTCTACTGCACTAGGCCCCAAAGTTGAAGGCTCGCTCCACAGATTTCCCTTAAGGCTCTATACTGTGGTTTTGATTGTGGAAAATTCGTCCAAGGCCTTCTCTGAATAGTTAAAATCAAGCTGAAACTGCCTTCCCCGCTCTGGGTCCTGCCTCATCTGGCCCCTGCTCCCCTCCCTTGCCCCATCACCAACCACTCCTTTACTGTTCACCAGCCACGGTGATCTCCTTGCTGTTCCTCAGCGTGTCCCAGCCTCTGGGCCTTTGCACATGCTGTTCTCTCTGCCTGGAACCATTTTATGTTGGGTTCCTTCTCATCCTTCCAGACTCACCCACATGTCACCTCCTCAGAGAAGTCCTCCCTGATACCCTCTCTATAATCTGCCTCATCCCTTCCTCCATTCTCTTTCCTCTCACCCTGCTTTTTTAGCATGCACCACTCCCTGAAATTACAGTGTGCACTCATTCCTTCATTTTCTCTCTCCTACGCCACCAGAGCGCCCACCAGAAGGTCAGCTCCATGAGGACCTGGCCTTTCTCATGTCTACTGCTAGGTCCCCAGTGCCCAGCACAGGGGCTGACATCAAGGAGAGGCTGGTAAATATTTGTGGAAAGAGCAAATGAAGACACAGATTAAATGCATCTCCCTCCTGATAATGTGATAATGTAGCTGAAGAACTGCATCTTTGCTATTGTACACAAATGATTTTTAAAGCATGTTGAATGAATGAATGAATGAAACGCATTTGTGTGGACCTGCAGTTGACACTTGCAGCAAACACTGATGTTTGATGGATGGATCAGTGATTGATTCAGCACCCCACTTCTTGTAAAAGGTGTGATGAAGGAAGAAATAAAGGAAGGAGGGAGGGAAGGAGGGATTCCAACAGCTGGATGCCTGTAGAGGTTGAGGGATGCCCCTTGGCCTAGCCCTCCTCCGCCCCCATGGCCCTCCCCAGAGATGACCCTGGTCTACCTCCAGTTCTTCTCTCCCTCACCCTCCCTCTGAGTCCCTGCAGAGCCATTATGGCCCTGGAACTAGCTGTTGAGTCAGGGGAACAGTTCTCACAGCTCGGGGAAGTCATAAGCTCCAGGAAATGAAGGCTTCGGAGCAGCGCCCCCTCCTCACCCATAACTCCAGCCTCGTTGTGACCAACCCAGGCTGAACTGCAGGGAATCAAAGCCAGATCCCCAGAGGCAGCAGCAGGGCTCACGGCTTGTGGATGGGGGGGCACCAGGGTGGGGGAGCGTCTATGAACATCCTTTGGTTCTACTTTGATTCCCAGACCCCACAGAATGTGGGAGAGGGGGAGGTGGCGGGGATGCTCAGAGTAGGGCTATGGGTCCCCTGATCTCAGCTCTCTAAGGTGGGGCCTAAAGGGGATGGGGAACAACATGTTCAGGACCCTTCCCCCCTCTGTGGACTGCTGACGCATTCCCATTCTCGCTGCCCTGGAGATGCACTTTTAACCTGTTCATCACCATCCTCACCTTCCAACAGCTGTCTCCCTACCCGGAAACCCTTCCCCAAAGAAATTCTGGAGCCACCACTGGGATAAAACATACAGCTTAAATGAGACAAAGGCATGAGGACTGCCCTCCGTGGTGGTGCTGGGTAGAAAGAGGTGGTCAGCGTGTCTTCTTTCCCACTTCCTTCGTCCTTAGGTAACCCGCCTGGGGCCCGCTCAGTACCCCCACTCCACCCTACAGCCAGCGACACACCCGGTGGTCCTAACCCAATTCCCCAAATAGCCAGACCACTCCTCAGCCTCTATACACACCCCTCTGCCCAAACCCCCACCTCTTCCTCCCATCTCTGCCTATGCAGGTGCCTCCTCCTCCAAGCAGCCCCTGATTTCCTGTCAGCCCCTCCCCCTTCAAAAACCTGTGCCTACACCCTTCCCTGAGCCCCCCACATCTCAGGTTGTCCCCTCTTTTATGTCCTGACCACACTCTACCTGGTATTTAGATTTTTATTAGGGGACAGTGGTTAAAGCATTTGGCTGCTAACCAAAAAGCCGGTGGTCTGAACCCACCAGTTGCTCCACTCTGTGGGAGAAAGATGTGGCAGTGTGCTTCTGTAAAGATTTACAGCCTAGGAACCCCTATGGGGCAGTTCGACTGTTCTATAGGGTTGATATGAAACGGAATCCACTCCTTGGCAATGGATTTGGTTGTGGTTTGTCTCTCACCCACTAAACTGTGAGTTTATGTATCTTTGCCCCCAGCATACAGCCCAAGTTGGGCACAGTGTTGAACCTCAGTGGCACTGAGTTGTTGAACTACACTGATCTGGGGGTGGGGAGGAGGCGTGGGGATTGAGCCCCTCAACTCCACTCTCTCTACTCAGTGCCTGAAACGCCTCCATTAAAGCGGCTCGGCTGTCCCCTGTAAACACTCACATTAAGCCATTATTCATCATTACGGCTTGAGTAGGAGTTGTCCCTCAGATCCTTTCCTGCTGAAAGCAGGATCTGATGGAGGGAGGGCAGAAGACATGGATTGATCTGGGATGACAGCAGAGGTCCAGGCTGGGGGAGAAACTCTTTCAGACTCTGGCACTGGAAGGTTTCCTGGAGGAATGTGGAGACAGCAAAGGCAAGCTCAGAGAGGTTGTGGCCCTGTCCAAAGGCACACAGGGTGCCCGGGCGGAAGGTCCTCTGGGCTTAGATGTTCCATCATGAACTGGGGTGTGAGGGAATCCCGTGAGGGCCTTTCCTCTCTGTGCTGCTATGGGAGGGGGAGAGTGGGCTGGGCACTGGGCTCCGGAGCTCTCTGTGCATCCAGACCTGGGCCCTGGGGGTTCTGGAAGACCTTTCTAGAAGGGCCTGCTAGGTTTCTGGGGTAGGGGGCTCCAGGGGGCTAGGCTGGGGAATGACCAATCAGGGCCTCGGGAGGCTGCTCTGAAGGTCCCTGCTCCTTGGGACTTGGACCTCTGAGAAGGAGGTAGGTGAGAGGGGTGTGGAAAGCGGCAGGAGGGGCTAGATGAGGGTGGGAGAGGAGGGAGGAGTGATGAGAATTGAAAGGAAGGACCTAGGGCTGGGAGTGGGGGAGGAGGAGCCTACTAGGTTATGGGGTCCAAGCAGGCAGGGACCATATATCAGTCACTATCATATGTTCCACCCTGCGCTGTCCACCTGGCAGGGCAAGGCAAAGTGGGAGGCCCGCACCCGCTGTCCACCAGGCATACAGGAGGCGCTTAATTATGACCTAAAGGAAGAAAGATCCACTCAGCTGCCCTCTACCCCACACACAGCTCATATCTTCTTGTCTCTATTGCAGGCTCCAGGCCAGGACGGCCCCAGGTCGCGGAAAGGTGAAAGGTCGGCCGGCTCCAGCGCGCATCCGCTCAGCGCAGGGCCCATGGCGCACAGCCCAGTCGGGAGCTGCG